GAATTCTGGGAGTTGAAGTCCACCCGTCTTAAAGTTGCCAAGGTTGAGGAACCCTGACTTAGGGAAAAAATAGCAGCACACTAGGGGAAAGTAGTGATACAAAATGTGGTACCCATGATAGCACTATTCTTTTGGATACTTTTCTTAGTGCCTGTCAGACCCTCCCTTATAGTGGGCTGTTATTAATGAAAGTATTTTATTTAGGCTTTATATTTTTATTAGTAAAAGTAACTGTGCATAATTGTTTTTAGAGCATCATCGATTTGCTTTTGTACCGACATGGTATTTTTGGTGAGCTGGCTAGGAGCAAATAGGTCATTTACAATTTGGAGCCCAGATCTCACTTTTGCTTTGCACTTGGTTTGCACTTTTTTCCTATGCTGGAATAGATCTCTAGGTTTCAGCGTGAGTTTGTATTTTTGAATTCAGAGCCATCTGTTTCCTTGAATTTAGGTTGCTTTGATTTTATCCCTCACAATTGTCTTCTTGGAAATAGGAAACTTTAGAGCAGGAACATTCACCATTGTAATCATTGTGCAAGAGTTCCTACAACATTTTCCACGTGTTCTGAGGTCCAAAAAGATGGGAATCCTTGATCTACCCTGACTATAAGGTCTCTGGTAGAGTTTGGCAATTTTGTTTTTATTTATTTAATATAAGATGGGGACTTACAGTCTTTTTATTGAGAAAATATGCATATTTTAAAAACCAAATATGTTCCACACTATCACACAATTTTGCCTAAACTTTCTTTTATACTTCTAAATTTCTCTACCACTACTGCAAAAAAAAAAAAAAAAAAACACAATTGGGTTCCCTTTTTGAATTTAAAATCCCAGAGAAAAGGTGGTATATGCCCTAAAATGTGCTTCCAGTTCCTTAAAAAAAAAAAAAAAGCACAGTTGGCTGCCATTTTGAATTTAAAATCCCAGAGAAAAGGTGGTATATGCCCTAAAATGTGCTTCCAGTTCCTTAAAAAAAAAAAAAAAGCACAGTTGGCTGCCATTTTGAATTTAAAATCCCAGAGAAAATGTGGTATATGCCCTAAAATGTGCTTCCAGTTACTTAAAAAAAAAAAAAAAAGACTCCCTCCTCCCCACAATATAATGGAAAATAGAAAATCCTAGATCCATGTTATATATCCTTATTGTACCATTGCAGGCCCATCCAAACAACTTTAAATGAATCCTCAATAGGTTGCCCGCTCTGATATAGCCAAATATAGGTACTTTTGGCAAATAGCAGTATACAAGTCCATTTGTGACTTCAGCTAAATTATTTAGGGCCAGCGTACAAGTGCTTAAGCCAGTGTTTCTCAACCTTGGCCACTTGAAGACGTGTGGACTTCAACTCCCAGAATTCCCCAGCCAGCATCCCCAATTCTGGGAGTTGAAGTCCACACAGCTTCAAGTTGCCAAGGTTAAGAAACACTGGCTTAAACACATAAGCAGAGTAATTCTGCCTTATCAGGAAAAGGGAAAAGATGGAGAGACAGGAAAATTCCATGGTAGAGCAATAGTCACATTTTCTGATTGCAGGAAATCTACAACAGCAGAATTTTCTAGGGCAGTGTTTCTCAATCTCAGCAACTTTAAGATGTGTGGACTTCAACTCCCACAATTCTGCTGGCTGGGAAAACACTGTTCTAGGAGAATACTGGAAGACCTCTAGGGACAGACTGTCCCACTATATGCACTGCATCCTAGAGGCATTTATTCAGCATCACTGGCACTCTAAATAAGGAGCGAGCTTGATTGGACTAGATTACCAAGAGAAGGGGGAACACTGGATTCTACACTTATTTTTTTCTGAGTAGTGCCATCCCCATCTAGTTCCTTTTAATCTGTCTAGTCCCGTTTCACCACATACACCCTACTGATGTCTCAGTAAAATGGGTTCAGATGTATCTACTGTATCTGAATGCATAAAGCAACTTACAGGTCTTTACAAGCTGTGGAAACAAAACATTGTCCATCAAAAAATTGTTTTTCCTCCCTCCTCCCCCTACCCATGTCTTTGCTAAAGTTCCTTTTCTTTAATGTAAGGGCACCAAAGGTTGACTTTGATCACTTCTCTAGTTTCTTTGGAGAAACATATTTTAGAATTCACTCTTATCCACAAATGCTACTGTTCTATTTTCAAAACAATTCTAGCTGTCACTTCACACACATTTATTTATTATTGTTATTATTTATTATTTCTTCCATCTTCTGGACTCCTTGTGTGAAGACATGACTAAATCCTACCATGGAAAATAGTTCTAAATTAGTTACAAACTAAATCCAAACATACACAATAGTTCTTTTACTGACCTTTGCTAACATTATTAAATTCCTGTGTACTGGGGAGGCAGTTCTTAATTAGCCCTCACCTTACCCTCACCAGATTTTAGCTCCAGAACTAATTTTCCTTGACACAACTCAGGGCCTGTAAGCACGCATCATGTAGCAACATCTTGTTCCAATCCTCTGACATTTGGGGTAGCTAGGACAGGAAAAAGCAGGAAACAAAATACATGACTTGTAGTCATGTCACTTCTGTAGGACCAGAATAAAGACTTGGCATCTTCATGAAGCTCTTGGAATTTCAGTGGCCCAACAGTGTCACTGCTGACACCATCCAGGTCTCCTGGCTTGACTGAGAATAGCATGCATTTGCAAAACTGTCCTTTTCTGGTTCACATAAAACTCCAAAGACACCTAGATTTGTACATATACTAAGCCATAACAGTGTTTGGTTCTGACTTAGAAAATCCATAGAAACCATTCCGATGTAGTTTGTAAAGATAGTTTATGGCTTAGAATGTTATATGAATCAGGCCACTGACTTCTGATTCTGATTTGGAAAAATCCAAAGAACCATGCCATTGTGGTTTGTAAACATTCTGTAGCCATTTTATTTCTTTATTTAGAAAACTAAATATGATGCTCTGGAATATATATTTTTAATTTTGATATACCACCTTTTCACAAACATCATAACACACTAAAAATAGGTAATGGCTTGAAGGTGATTGTTGTAAACCATATTTCTGTTTATTGCTGATATATGGGTGGTGATGAGGACAATGGAGACCTCTCTGGCAGAGGTGCACTGCTCACATAAGTTCTGCACACATAATTCCTGCCATTTTGAGGAATAAAGTACATTTGAGTGAAGCTTGGAAGAGTGAGTAATATACTACGATTAACATCTCAGAAATGTAAATGTAAAACCAGAGGAGATTCAGGTTCAAATCCTCATTCAGCCACAGAGCAAACTTGAAATCCCATAGCAACTCATATCCTAGGCTAGCTTACAGGCTACCAGCTGGATACTAAGGAGAGGCAGTGTGGTGAAGTGGATTGGGAGGCCCGTGTTCAAGTCCCCTCCCAACCAGGGACCTCATGGTGATCTGGCCAGTGATTTTCTCACAACTGAACCTTTCTCATAGGGTTGATATTGTAAGGATAAAATGAGAGATGATCTAATGAATGTCATCTTGAGCTCCTTAGAGAAAAGGCAGGATATGATCATAATAAACATTTTAAAAAATGAATAATACCTAACAGCAGAATGACTCTGTACACTAACCTGGGAAGGAAAGGCAAAATACACACGGGCTGGGTTCAACAACATGTTTAGCTTGGTAACTGAATTAACCCATTTTTGTTCAATGTATTGAATTGTTAACTTATCCAACAGCCTAAGTTCACACAACACATTAAGCCTTAAAAAAAAAAACCCTAACCAAGTTTAAAACTTCTCAAGCTTGATAATTTGTGAGAATGCCGACATCAAATCTTTAGCTGGCCTGGTTACGCAAACCCAACCATGGAGTAAAAAGGTAAGTTCCTCTGAGCATATGCAAAATCTTTCATTACAGTGAGCCACTTCATACAGTCCAAAATGTCTTCTGTAAGACATTTCTTGAAAAGTTTGTGCAATTTGTTAGACGTAACCAAGATGCCCAACAGCACCATTCCGTCCGCTGTTCAGAGGAGAGGCAGAGGTGCATCCGAACAAGGTTCAAAATGGGAGGGGATTCTCTGAATTTCCTTGGCAAAGCCTTTTCATCAAAGAGAAGAGTCGAGCTCTGCTGCTAACTTCAGGGACAGGCCTCTGGACTAGTCCTAGCAATGCTATGGAAATGGTTTACCATGGCTTTCTCCAACCTTCCCCGTCTGGTCTACGGTCCCAGGATTTTCTAGTGGTCTCCCATCTAAATACTAATGAGATCTGACCCTACTTAGCTTTTCCAGATCAGGCCAGTTGGCTGGATACTGGGAAGTTTTTGCAATGAAAGGAAATGGCCTCCCTTCAAATAAGAGGGCATGGCACCCCTGCCTTCCAAGTTCGTGTGCCAACTAGGCCTACCTGGAGTCGCCTCCGGGCCTCTCTAAGCAGCTCCCCTCCCAGACTCAACAATCGCCCTCAACTTTTCGCCATGCACCGGCCGGCCGCTTAGCACCTCGCCCGCCCCTCCGCCGCACACTCTTACTTACTTGAGGAAGTACCTCTGGCCCGTGTGCGTGAGCGCCATCTCCCAGCCGGGAGGAAGCGGCAGCTCGTCCGTCACGTCGTAGGACTGCTGCCGGAGGTGGGCATGCTGTTGAGCCGGAGTCGGGGTGGCTCCAGCGCCGGTGCCCAGCTGCAGGGAAGCTGGCGAAGAGTGGGAGCGGACGTGGTGGACCCCGACGGCAGCGTTGCTAAGCCGGGGAGGGTGGCTGCCCGAGTCGGTACTGGACTGGCGGGAGTGGGATCCCGAATCGGGCTCCTTAAAAAAGGATTCGGGCAGGATCTTTTTTCTCCACGAACTGGGCTTGGGGTTCATGACGGAGTTGAAGAGAGCCTCTAGATCAGTGTCCAGATCCTGGGTGACATGGATCACTTGCTGCCCCGGCGGGGGAGGGACGGCAGCGGGATTCATTTTTCCTACCTTGAGCCACCAAAGTTTACCGCAAGACCTCGCGAAGGGGGAGAGGAAGGGGGTCTGGAAGCAGGAACGAATCAGAGCCGGCAGGCCAGGATTTCCCCTTCGAAAGTTGTCTTGCAGACTTCCAGCCTCCCCCGCTCCGAGGTTCCTGGAGCTGGAATCGGTCTGCGGCGATAAGTTTCCAAAGCACAGCGCTCTCGACCTTTCTCCCCCTCGTTCTCGAAAGGCCTCAAGCAGAAAATCCAAGGCAGTTATCCCCTCCCTCCCCAAAGTGTATCTTTATCTCGCAGAATCTCCAAGAACAGTTGAAGCAAATCCAAGTCAAGCCCCGAAGGAAAGTTATGCAACTCCCCCCTCCCGCTCCGAACTTCGGAGATCTGCTACAACTCCCCCTAAAAAAACAGCTCCTTTAAAGGACGAAGGAGCGAGATCTTCTCCCGCGGCTGTCACGAAAGGAAGGGAGGGATTCCAAAGAGGGCCTGGGACTCGAAGCAAGGGGGATCCCGCGGGATGGCCGTTCCGACTTCGAGCACCGAGAGGCGAACGCTCGGATTTAGAACGCCGCACTCTCCTGAAATCTCAGCCGCGCTCTGCTCCAGGCCTGACGTCCTCGTCTTCCCCCTCGCGCATGCAGAGGGCGGCCAGGCTCAAACAGTTTCTATCATTTGTCTGTCTCAAAGGATGGACAAAGAAGCGACCTTGCGGGACAGAGGGTAGGTGGTCCCTCTTCTCTTTTACATACCCATCCCGTAGACCTTGAAGGGCTGGATACTTCCACGGTGGCGGCCGCGCGATCGACTATACTAAACAAACTTACCCAAAACTCTCAGAGTTAGGGCGGCGCAGAAAGTTTGGCAGCTGCATTATTCATGAGCTCAGCGTCTAGGACCAGTCCGATTACACGGTACACCCACTTGCCAGTTTTCCCTCCCACAGCTCGTTTTAGAGAGCCGGACCCCGCTGGATTTTTCAGCTGGGCAACAGGAGCCTCCTGGGGGTGGGCTTAGGGAGTTTACGGGAATCTCGGGCGGAAATCGAGCAGGGTTATGACTAACAAATAAGGCAAAACGCGTGCCAGGGCTTCCTCCAGCCGCTCCTTTTGGGGCTTTCGCTAAGAAGTAATCCACAGCCAGGATGCAACGGATTTAGGACTGAAACAGCCGACTGTCCAGATATTCCACTTGGATCGGCTGTTTGATGCCAAATCGGCTTTCATACTTCAATAGAGTTTTCAGTTGGAAAAAGCAGTTTGATAGTGCTGCAAGCCAAGCTACTTCAACATTCACAGGCCCTAGTTCCACTTGCAGTTTTCCGTGGCATGTCTATGTCCTCTACTCACCCCGTTTCCCTCCTTGATTGCACTTTGCCTGCATCTTGCTC